CAAGTTCCCTCCATCACGGAGGCACATCATAATAGGGCCCTCTGGTTTGGTCCTGGCCTCCTGCCTCAGGTACACCTGCTGTACAGATGTTGAACTCACCTGACAGGTGCCATACTGCTCAGAATCACAATTTGCCTAATGGAAATCAGCCCCTGGCTTCAATGTGTTCCCTGAAATTGAGTTAGCAACATCAGCAGACACTCACAGCACCCCCCATCCCCTTGTCCCTCATCGGTCCCTTCTCTGTCTTTGGCTCTCAAGTCCTTTATTGTTAAAGCAACATATCTGAGGAGAGTACTTCTATTTGAATATATTCACAATAGAAGCATTGTTTTAGGGAGAGCATTGCTTTTAATGAAGTGAACAGGCAGCAGTTTTCATTTTCATGGGCATAAATAGTCTGCGTAGCCATATTGCTTAATTTTATGAAATCAAGCAGACAAGTAGGACTGAGAAAACTACAGCCATCCTTTTACTATAAAATGTTTTGAAATATTAGAGCTACCACGCTGTTCTGTAACTAAAATGGTGTCCCAGAGTCTCTAGTAGAGCTGACTTGCAGCAACTATGGGGACATTATTTACAACCAGGTCAGAAAGTATGCAGAGATTTGCCAGCTGGCCAGCAGAGAACAGGGTCCTTGGTCAAGCCTTATTAACTACTGCCTCAAAAGTAAATGAGTTATCCATCAGGAGAAGTGACTGAGAGAGTCATCCATCCATCCTGCAGAACATATGGCCAGAGATTTAATTGCACTGTGTTGCACAGATAGCAAAGCTAACCTAGTTACTGATGCAGGAGTAGTGCAATGATGGCAGTAAGCAGGAATCCAAACACTGCTCTGTCCAGTTAATCGCATGGCCATGTACAACTGTCTGAAGTTAAATTAAGCTATTTGTAGCCGCTCAAAGCTTTTCTGTCAGTTGAGGTATCTTGTAAAGCAATCACTCTTTGCTGAACAATGACAGATATGTGTACAATATAAAATTAATATAGCTTTTAGATGTCAGATTAAAGGCTTTGTGTCTCTCTTTGTTAAAACAGGTCAGTTAGTTTAACTGCTGCCACCCATTACGAGGGTGAACAGAGTTGATTCTGCCGTTTCATCTTTGATCAAACTAATGCATTTACAGAATCAGCAGATACAAAGGGGATTTGTGAAAAGAATATTCTTGAGGGGATAACAGTCATTTCATGTCCACAGGTCAGTGGATACATTTTGTAGCATCAGCTCCTTCCAGTATTGTATGCATTTATGTTTATTACTACTTCTATGATATAGTTGAATGTATTTTAAGATAAAGGTCATGGATATTTGATGCTGTTGTGGGTAAAATCAATGCACAGAAAATCACTGCAGTGCCAAGAATCATTTATTGTACAATATTATTGAAATATGATTGAGAGGGAAGGATACAGGATCACCTGTGTCAGTCTGAGTCTCTACGGAGGGTCAGGCAGTCAGCCCCAGGTCTGTTCCTCTTCTAGGGTCTTCACACACACGCGCCTGATCAACTCTGTTGCTAACTATATTCCAATTTCTCACTTCCTGTTATTGTCCCCCTCTGGTGTCAACCCCTAGTCTCGCTTCTCTTTTTTGGGAACACCCTGCAAGATGTGCTAAACAACAGGAAGTCTGGCGCCTGAACTACTCTCAGAGATCAATAGAAAGGAACAAAAATGTGTTCAACTCACCCTACTATATTTCATTCCATACTACATGTTATGCATTAACTATTAACTATATTCTGTTTGCTTTAACCACTACAATGTCATAAGATTAAACATATATTTTCAAGATCAGATGGATGCCATTTTCAAATTCTGTGTATTCGAGGCCATATTTATACCTGTTTCATCTGATGTTAAACCATTCCTCTCTGTAAAAGGTAACCTGTGTGTGTGTGTGTGTGTGTGTGTGTGTGTGTGTGTGTGGATGTATATGCGTGTTTTCAGTTAGCTTTCTAAATGAGGATGGAAGAGGATTTATAAGTGCTGAAAACAAAAAGTGTCTGGACTAGTAAAGTGTTACCTAGAACTTGTCAGGTTTGCCCGGCTGCGCCTGCCTCTCTCACCTCCCTCACTTTCTCATTTCTGGCCCATGATTACACCACCTTGCACACCTGCTCCATACCCCTTGATCGTCACCAGCTGCACTCCCTTACTTATACTTGGCTCACCTACCACTCCCTTGCCAGCTCGGTCTCGTTCCCAGGCCCTCTCTTTTTACAAGCCTTAATGTCCCTGAAAAGCTGAACATTAGTTCTGAATGGAAGCATGAATGTCTTTGAAGAGCTGAACATTTTGATACCTGAAATAGCTGAAAGTATGTTGAAGTAGAATTTTCTCATTCATTTTAATGGTGCAAAAGTTTCAAAATAAAGCTAAATATTTCAAAGGTATAAGGTTTACAAAAATCCTGAAGAGAAGCATGAATGTCCTTGAAGAACTTAACATTTTGAATTAAAGATATTAAGATGTGAACATCTTTCCTATTCATTTGAATGGGGCAAAATTTGTTGAAAAAAAGCTGAATATTTTAAAAAGTATAAATGTTACAAAAAAGAAAAATACAAGCAAGCATGTCCTTGAAAAGCTGAACATTGTGATACCTGAATGGCTTTTCTAGGTGAAAGTATGTTAGAGGAGTTAGGTGACAAAAAATGGATGGAAGAAAGCAGAATATTAAAGAATAGGATAGCATTGTGTGGATGCTGAAAGGCATCCACACTATGTTTTCCTGTTTTTTATTGTGTGGATGCTTTTCAGCATCTGTAATGGTGCCAGTGAAAGATGTCATAAAAATAGTGAACTACATTAAACGAAGCACCAAGAACAGCCGCTGTTTCACACAGCTGTGCAAAGACCTGGGATCAGAGCACCTCTAGTTGTTGTATCGTTCAGAATTTCACTGGCTTTTCAGGGGAAAGGTAATGTCACACTTTTATGAGCATAAACACAAAATTGCCCCCTTCCTCTCACACAATAACTCCCCGAACACAGTGATGAACTCTGGCTCATGCGTGTGGCGTATCTTGCCGATGTGTTTGTGCACCTCAATGCTTAGGGGAGAGGACACAACATCTTTGAACAGACTGACAAAGTCACTGCCTTCAAAAAGACGTTGAGGTTGTGGATAAATCACGTGACTAAAGACAGACTTGGCATGTTTCCAAACACTTGCCACGCAGCAGGAGAGCTAAATACAGTGGCCAAAAATGCCCTGAAAATAACTGTCACTGCTCATCTGACCAGTCTACACGTTCACTTTGAGGACTACTTTCCAGAGAAACATGACAATAGTCACTGGATAAGAGATCCCTTTGGAATCGACATGGAAAGCGTTGTGTTGCTAAGCAGCGAGGAGAATCATCTGGTTGAGCTGTCATGTGACCAGACACTGAGAAAGAAATTTGATGAGGTAAGGCTCCCCCATTTTTGCATTCAGTTTTATACATATACAGCACCCTGTTGTATTATTCGACTGTTGTATTTATGTTGTGTTATGCAGCAGTTGTGGTGTTTATTTTTATTTTTGAGTAACATTTCCTCAATGCAGACATAGACAAATCTAGCACAAAGGCTGTACTGGCTATGTTTTAAAAAGGCGCTTTATAATTAAATGAATTTATTTGTAATCTTGTACTGGTGGGTCACGACTTGACAAGTGGGTTGGAAAGTGGGTCCCAGGGTGACACCAGTTGAGAAACACTGTCTTAGACCCCATCCTGACCAGGATGCTCAAATATCTTTTGCCCCTAATCAACATGTCCATATTAGATGCGATTAACCTCTCTCTATTAACAGGTTATATTCCACAGGCTTTTAAGGTTGCTGTAATTAAACTTATACTCAAAAAGCCTACTCTTGACACAGATGTTCTGGCTAATTGTAGACCAATATCCAGTCTCCTGTTTATTTCTAAAATCCTTGAAAAAGCTGTTGCTAAGCAGTTATGTGACCACTTGCACAAGAATGATTTGTTTGAGGATTCTCAGTCAGGATTTAGAGTCCATCATAGTACAGAAGCTGCATTGGTGAAAGTCACCGATGATCTCTTCCTAAGCTCAAAGGACTTGTTTCCATACTTGTCGTCTTAGATCTCAGTACTGCTTTTGACACCATTGATCATGTCGGCAAGCCTGTAAAAACGGGTCCCGAAGAGAACCAAAAAGCAAAAGAAACACAGGCCATAACAGCAGAACTGGCCTCTGAGGATCTGGCATCAGAAACCTTACAAGGGCGGCAGTAGGCTATTTAACAAATTGTCTCTTTTCAGTTAGAATTCACACAAGAACAGCAAGAATGTTTACAAGAAACAGCAAGAGGAGCTGGGAGAGAGGAAAACTTTTAAAATGCTATGGCAGAATCCATAAAGTAGAAAAGTTAAGATAATCATAAGATCATTTGTGTGTGTTTTGTTTGAAATAATTGTTAGTGAATGTGTAAGAATAAATTGTGAAAGGATTATGTTGAAAAAGGTACATTTAGAAGTCTAAAGTACATTCAGAATCTAAATCATAGAGTGGAAATGCTGAATCACGGAGAAAGGGGAAGTAGACACACGTCCCTGAAAAGAGGAAGTGCAGTTGTTTGTGTGTGTGTGTGTGTATGATAGGCAGCGAGAGAAGAGACAGTTTATTAAGAAAGTGAAAATGCTGGTTTCAAGCCTAAAAGTAAAGATTTGATTGATAATTAATGTTTGATCAATGTCTAATCAATGTTTAGTCAAGTATTGTATTCAACATATAATGATCCATGTTTTGATTTTAAGGCATTGATAGTTTTGTGTAAAATCAGTGTGTAATTCTGATTGTTCTGTTAAAAGCAAAGATGGAAATTTTGGTATTTCAGTCAGATGTGAGTTTCTTGTATCTTTATTAAGCATTAAGATGATTTAGTTTTCTAAGAAAAGGGAAGTAGAATCCGAATTGTATGAATTATTGGACGAATTTTGAAATCTAAGAATTGCTTTTGTATTTGTAGGAAATGAAGATAATTCATGATTTGCATTTATTCAGTTTCTTTCTTTCATCGGTGGTGGTGTGATGGTGGTGGTTGGTGGTCCTATCTCTGACTGTCCTTCCATCCTGGTAATCTGCAGGGTGGATGGAGTCTTCCTCAGGGTCTTGTATTTGTAGGGCAGGGTGTTGCTCCCCTCTAATAATGGCAATATTGTGGAGAACAACACATGCCACAATAATGTCACAGGCCCTCTCAGGTGTTACCCTGAGGTGACGTAGGCACTGAAAACGTGCTTTCAACAGGCCTATGGTCATTTCCACCCGGGCTCTTGTTCTGCAGTGTGCCACATTAAAGCGCTGCTGGGGGCCTGCTGCAGGTTCTGGGTAAGGGGTCATCAGTGTGGGCTGGCATGGGTAACCCCTATCTCCCAGCAGAAAGCCATCAATCTCTCCTATAAGAAAGTTCACATCACTTTAGTGCTGCATAGAAGTGCTCCTGTAAGTGTGTAGTGCATGCATTGAAATAAGTGTATAGGGCATACATGTACTTACCACATTGCAGCCTGTTACTTAGGGTTGACACACGATATATTCGTGAGTCATGAACAGAGCCGGGCCACTTGGCCTCCACGTTCGTGATAATATGTGAAGCATCACATATGATCTTGGCAGTGCAGAAAATGATACATGTCAGGTACAGTATTGTGATGTAGTCTTTGACCATTAGAAAGAGTAGTCAGTGTACCTGCACATTAATACTGTGGATGGACCTCCTGTTGACATAGTCCCCTTCATTTTCAGAAGGTGCATTGATGGGAATATGTGTTCCATCAATGCATCCAACCACATTTGGAAATCCTGAAGGGGATTCTAATTATTAGTTTATTTCCAGAGGTCACAGCAAGATGTTATTAACTGATCATCATTTGTCAGATTAGCCTTACTGAAACGAATTCAATACCACTAACCTGCAATCCTGTGAAACTCCTCTTTAATGGCTCTGAGGGGTTTGTGCCCAGGAAACACAACAAAAAATAACAGAAAGCGCTTGAGGGTGAGGCACACTTTCCGAACTATTCTACATACTGTGGCCTTACTAATGTGCTCTGCATCCCCGATGTTATAAAGAAAACTACCGTTTGCAACAAATCGTAACGCAACACAAAGAATGGACATGCCATTTTGGTCTCTGCGTGACGGAAACATGTGCAATCTATGAATGTACTGAAAGATTAAATGAGGTAGGCCTATTTAAACACCTTTCACTTTAAAAAGGGGCGGAGACCGGAGGAAACTCTGGGTTTCCCGAACAAAACCTGCTCCCAACCAGGTTAGGTTCACAGAGTAAGTTGCCATAGTAACTGACTCTGAGTTTAGATTACCTCTCTTTTTGAAACGGGTTTAACTTACCCCGCTTTCACGGGTTTAAGTTACCTCCGTTTCTGGAACCGAAAACTCAGAGTTTTCCTCATTTCGGGGTTAACAAACTCAGAGTTTCAACAAAACCTCCTTCTTGAAACGGGCCCCATAGTATGAATGCTGAATCAGCATCCATACAACAACAAACACAAGAAACCGCGAGTAACACCAATAGATGGCCGCTATCGCCATCTTCAGTCAATCATCATACTTAAGCCGTTTAAAGCCTCCATACTGTGTTTAAATACTTGTGTGACCCAGGGCAGAAAAAATGAATCAGAACTTAAAATGAGAAGTAACTGACAGACACCACTGTCCTGATGATTACACAATGCTCTGCATGCAAAATTAAAGCTGTGTTGATCTGACTGAAAGTGTAAGTTGCCTGGAGTTAAACAAGTCAGGGACACACAACACAGGATTTTTCAGGACTTGACTACTGTAATGCTGGCCCCAGTGGACCTGAATTGTGGATTCCCATCTGCCACTTCTGTCTCACTAACTGTTTACCTTTTACCTTTGCCTCTGCTTCCCCAAACCATGTCTTCTGCCACCTCCCCTCATACTCATCTTTTGTCTCCTTTCTTCACAGTGCATCTTTTCTCTCTACCCTTTATTCTCAGCCAGTGCAGTTTGTTTCTGTTTTCCCTGTTTGCCCTCTCAGCCCTATCAAGCCTTCTTCCTATTCATCTCCGTCCATCTTCCTTTATGATTCCCTTAGCACTCAGACAATGCCCATTTAAAGTCATTCACCTGTAGTTGAGGGTTAGTTTTGGGAAATACAATGACATACTGTATACTGGAGAATAACAGACATTTGTCTATAATTAAACATACAGTATATCATTTATATTTTGATAACAGTCTGATTAATATCTCTAGGTGCAGTCACCTAGGGTCCATATGAGAATGCTATCAACATGACATTTATTACATCAGACAGAGTCATAATATACTGTATATCTAACTTTTCAAAACACCCCTGCAGCCAGCAGTGTCACTTACAAAAGTTGAATTCACAGTGCAGTGCACTTACATTATCACATACACCACACATCTTACTCAAGCTTGGGCAGTTTCAAAGGTTATGTGCAAGGGATTCTGACAGTTTGACAAAGGCGAATACCGAGGCAGCACAACAACTTTTTAAGAAAATTAAATGTCAGATTTTGAAGATGTGGGATGGCATGTGTATACTGTATATAGTGCATGTCTGTGTGTGAGACAAGGCATTTCAGCCACTTACATAAATCAACTGAGGAGTAGCTATATTTGCCCATATTTTTGTTGCAGTTAAGGAAAAATGTCTTGACAAGTGAGTAGCTTCTCAAAAATTGTCCCCTCCTATTTTGGTTAAGTAGTTTACACCTGGTTTCCTGTCTTTTGAACCAGCATAGCCCCACAATGGCATAAATTCCTCCCTAAGTGAGTGGAGTATACACAGCTCTATCTGTGAGCGTCTCCCCCTGCGGACGGCTAAGTCCTGATATTTATTCTCCAGTGAGATCATTAAAGGAGGAAGATCTGGAGATGATTATATGGATACCAATGTTTTTCACAGAATTAGATTCTACTAAACTAGCATGAACTTTTATCCACTTGTAGAGAAGTCCATATACATCCAGTATCCTGACATATAGTGTCCTGACCTCAGCAACAGTCATATTCCAACATTAGCTTAGCCAGCCTTACTAACTTGCTAATAACATATCAGAAGAGTTGGATCTTTGTGACTGACAGAACTGTGTTAAAAACGAACATGGAGAAGAGAAGCTGTTCACAGATGGTCCGTCGCCATGTGTTTGTGCGTGCAAGAGAGAGACATAGAGTGGGGGCACACAAGGACTGAGTGAATACATTCAGTATGCACGGCACTACACTGAAATAAGATTAAACCTAATGTATTGTAAATCAATGTGGGGGTCAATGATGATTTTGTGGTGGGTCACCACAAATAAGTCAATATATTGAAAACACTTGACATGTCCATTATTTCAATAATCTGTTTGAACTCCTCCCCTCTGGATGGTGCTACAGGCCACTGTGCGCCAAGACAGCCAGGCACAAGGACAGTTTCTTCCCCCAGGCCATCACTCTGATTAACACCTAACACGAGAGTATGTCTGGTCAACAACCCTCAGTGCAATACCTTTCCTCACTGCAATACCTGTAAATATACATTGAACATATAGATCCGTTGAATCCAGACTGTGTGTGTGTGTATATACGTACATGCATACATGTTTTGTAGCTCCAAACGAATGCCCGTGGAGCTTCATCTGCCTGACACACCCGCTGAGAAAACAACTCTGGTAACTGAAGACTCCATAGTGTCAGGTTTGCCCGGCTGCACCTTCCTCTCTTTCTCGCTCTAGTCTGCTCCTTCTCACTGACTCTCTTGATTAACACACCTGTCCTGATTTTCTGACACTCTTCAGCTGCGCCTCCTTTGTCACTCCCTATTTATACTCGGCTTTACCTTCACTCCCTTGCTGGTTCTTTCTAGGGGCTAGAGTGGGCGACACTGAATTCTATTTGAAGCTGCTGACTAAGGATAAGTGTAAATACAGTTAGGCTGTTATTCACGTCGGCATTAATGATTCCCGACTTCGCCAGTCAGTGGTCACTAAAATTAATGTTGAGTTGGTGTGTAACTTCACTAAAAAAAACGTTGGATTCTATAGTTTTCTCTTGAC